AATTGATGATCATTTGTCATTTTACGATATATTGTTTCGCAAAAAATGTTTATTCACAGCGTCATAATCGTTAACTGAGGTGTGTACATATTTTATTCTATAATTGTTCGTGGAAATGTCGACCTGAAAAGGTTCAGAGCCATCGAAAATACTGTTTGCAATAGTGTCAACATATTTTTTGTTTGAAGCATCAGTCGGATTGTTGGCATCACCCAAATTGATCAGTTTATTTCCTTTCATGTCGAGGCCGCTTGATAAATCGAGAGAGAAGGCTTTTCAGTGGAAAGAAAAAAAAACTAAACGAGTGAGAGATGAGATGACAAGCCTGCCATAATTGTTCAGAGAGGAGTAAAGGATACTATTGACAAAAAAAAAACAAGATGAATTAATCGAAAAACTGCAAGATAATCAAAGTAAAATTGTTCAAGCCATAGCATTCATTTACAGTAACGTCCATTCCTAGGTTAATAGGTAATTCTGAGAACTTTTGCCTTTTGAAATCCACTTTCCAATTAGTAACTCTTCGTTGTGTCACTTTCATATCATGCCCTGACATTGGATGGATTTCTACGCAAACAAATCAAGAAGAGGGCAGATTGTACTATCTTGGCCTTTTTCCACCTCTTCCTTTTGATCTAAAATTTGTTCTTCGATTGACATTGGATTCTCTTCGCGGACCTTTACTTCCGCCCCTTCCACGACCCCGATTTCCTCTCTTTGTATTCCAGTTTTTTCCCGCCTTTTTCTCTTCCCATCGAAGTTGCTTGTCGCTGGCGCTCCCTCGTTTGACATCATAGGTGCCACCTCTTGAAGCTTTGGAATTTTCAAGCAGATGAGCGAACTAAGAAAAATATTAAAAAGACAAACAAACGATTACAATTAAAAAAGACAGCATAGCAGTAGAGCAATTTTCCATCCAGTGCCAAAAGAAATCCGGCATTGCTTTGTTTTGTTATTAACTTCATCAGGTGATTGGTCCAGAAAACTCGCGCCACTTTCTTAACCAATCAGATGCAAAGCTAAAACCAAGCACGAGCTGGTCTCTCGCATTTTCTCGCGCCTTTACCTTGAGTTCTCATTGGCTCTAAGAGTAGTTTCCTCTCTTTTGATTGGCCATTGTGATTACTGGGTTTGGTTTTAACCACACTCAATTGAAAAGCACTCTAATTTTCCACCAATGCCCTTTGAGTAACGTTTCTGCTGTCACCTTTTCTTTAGGCAAATGCGTTCTCTCTCACACTACCTTACAAAGATTGCCATCACAGTAGGAGGGCAATGTAAAACTAACTGTAAATGAAATAACCATTCTAGCTTACCTCTTCAGCAGACGCAAACATTGAAGAAACATCTCCCCTAACGCACAAAAGGAAAAAAAGCGTTACACTCAACTAATTATGAAGAGGAGAGATTATTCAAAACATCGTATCTTCTCTCACCCTTCAGTGTTTCCCTTTTTGGACTTCGTTTTCGTGAACTGGCTTCCCTCGTCCTCGGAAAGTTCATCTGAGCTCAGGTTTTCGAGCAAAGCCTACAAGACGAAGGCATTATAACAAATTGACGCATAGTTCATAGTCTAAAGAACTCACTTCGCACCCGTATTTACCAACACGTCACACCAGTCTTCTACAGCGTTGCGTGACAACGTAAAGCGCTCGCGTTATGAAACGGATGATAGTGCTTTATACCTTCTCGTAATCCTTTTCCGTAAATTTTCTTTTCTTGCCTTGTGTAGTAGTTGGCTCCTCTGTAGGTAAGAAAACAAATTGAAATTAAAAACGTTAGCTAAATGGTTAATTTCTGCAGTAAACAGGTTACGAGAATAGAAAAACTACTAATTTACAGGATGATATCTTGTTGCAACATCAAATTCCCTCTAATGACCTGCAAGGAATTTATTGACGTATTTGAATTAAGGGGTTAATTGGTGCCGAGCCCTTTTCAAACGGAGAAATCTAAGCCAATAAATTGTACTGAGAAGGTTGTACATACCTGCTTGTTCATCTTCAGAAGATGACAAATCCATAGCGTCATAATCAAATTCTGATGAGAAAAGATTCAAACAACGTCAAACTGTTGGCAGAGGGGACAAATTTAATAGAGAACTATTTCGCTGAGACAACAAGCTGTTCCGTTATTCTAAAATAAATTAACGATATTGAGCCCTTTACATCTGCAAGGTTATTTACCTAGCGTTGAATCCGTTTAATCTAAGTCGTGCGAAAATGACCTCAGCCAGGGTCAAAAAGAGGTTATAAGTGGTAAATGGAAAATAATAAGAAAATACCAGCGAAATCACAAAGACTAATCAGAAGAGAGAACGATACCCTTAAGAGCCAAAGAAAACTTGAAGTTAAAACCAAACTGGCTAAGGCGCGGGAAAACGAGGGTGACCAAGTCGTGATTGGGGTTAGTTTTGCTTCTGATTGGTCGAGAGGATGGCGCGAGTTTTCCGAACCAATCACAGAGCTAGGTAAAGCAAAATCTGAGCAATCAAGGATCACTTTCGACATATAATTGAAATTTGCACCGGTAATAATGAGATGAAACTATTTTAAGTGCCATCTTCTGCCGTTTTCTGGTGAACTTTTACCTTTTCCCTCCAATTCTTCGTCGTCACTTCCACCCTCCTCGCTGTTTTCGTCTCCTCCTTCGTCCTCTTCATCGCTAGTGATTGCTTTGTTTTTACTCGCCGTAGACATTTTGGAACTCTTCAAGTCACTTATTAAACCGAAAAAATAGAAAAGCTGTCTAAAAAAATCTGAGAGAAGTCTCTCTATAAATAGTAATGAAAACAATATAAATAAAATGTTAGGGTAACTGGTGGTTTCGCCCCATTGCAAGTTGGCCCCTTCTCAATTCGACCCAAACATCTTTTGACTCGTTACCTAACGAAAAGAACGTGATTCCTTTTCTAATTTAATTCGATCAACTGGCAAATTAATCGCAAAACCATCACAAAGTTCGATCAACATGCAAATGCGATAGGGCAGACGCGAACTTGCAATGGGGCAAAACTTCCATGGCGTCATTTTAGCAGTGGTAGATGTACAGGGAATGGCTCTCCTTCCACAAATTTCAGGCCATATTGGAACTCTGGGTGTAGCTGCTCGTGGAAAGGTGGGACCCGAGTGCTCGAAGGAAAAGACAAGAACTAACAACAAACTCCACCCACAGGTGACCTCAGGTCAGGGATTTAAACCTGGGCATCAAACGCTTTCAGCACTAAGCCATCTCTGCTCACCAACAATCAGTAGATCTGTCACTGCCGCTAAGCAAACATAGCCGCCTATCTTGGGCGTTAGTTAGGGAGGGGAGGAGGTGACGAGGAGATCATCCACATTTTCCAGTACAAGATTTCGACAGTACTTAATGTTTGAATATCCTAAGGAAGCTACCCCTTCATCTGTTGGCTGAAAAACTCATATTGAGAGGTAAACCTCTTTCTCTCTTATCCAGTTATCTCTTTCAGGCTGTTTTGTTTAAAACAAGGCAAACTAACTTTACCTCGCGAAGTCATACTCAAAGCTAGACCGCTCCTCTAGAACATTGTCTGTGAAAAGAACAGATAAGTTGAAAGTAAATCGAGAGACTATAAAGCATAACTCGCACACAAAAAATTCGACCATAAACAAATAAAACAATACCGAAATTTGTTTCCTTTTCAGATATTTCATCGTCAGATTCACCAGCTTTCTTCTTCCGTTGACCTTCCTTTTCTGCTTTCCGCTTGAAATACCTGAGATATACGAGGAAATATGACAAGTCCTTTGCCTTTACTCAGCGGACGATCGATGTAAGAGATATATCGGTGCGTGGGGGGTATTATAAGATAATCAGTTTTATCTAATGGGTTGATAATGTAAATAGGTCATTGTAAAGGGTTTCAAAGGCTGACGTTTCCACCGTTAGCCCTTCGTCAGAACGAATCATCCGCGAACAATTCGCTCTGACGTGGGGCTAATGCTTGAAACGTCTCCTTTAGAGACTCTACGATAGCAAATTTTCATCATCAACTCAGTTAACAAAACTGATCAGTATATACTAAAACAGAGGATAGCGTTGAAGGCGCGCTTTGATAGGCTACTAAAATTCCGAAGATCCTTTGCTATTAGAGCAACTCGCGCGGGATTGCACCCGAAAATAGCCGGTGTAATCGGTAGAGAAACGAATAAGTTAAAATCATCTTTGTGTGCTTTGTTATGTCACTGTTTCAGCATACACTACTATAACCAATCACCTAGGTGTCAGTGGCAAGTAGTGGATATTTACCTCACTCCTTAGTGGCCTAGTAAACATCCACTGCCCACCTTCACTCAATGAATAGTTGTTAATTATAAGCTGATACTTAAATTCAGTTTGAAAATGAAGCTGACTGACGGCTGTTCGTAAAAGGAATCTATGCCACTAGTTAGATAATCAATGAATTCAATAATACCTGTGAAAGAACAGTTCATCTTCTCGTATATCTTCTTCTTTTTTAGCAAGAAACTCTTTCGTATTCACTGCAAATGAACAGGAGGTTTAACACAAAATCATTAAACATTACTTTGAGCAAGTCAACATGATTTTCATCGGGGAAATTGCATCTTCTTGAGTTAGAGGGCAAGTGTGAGGTACTTTACTGCAAATCACTGTCGCCCAGATCTGCACCTGCAGTGGATGAGAGCTGAAAACTCATTCAAGTACTGCAAAAGTTCCTTTCCGGCAAAGTTTGAACTCTTACCGTTGAGAAAGTTCCAACCAGAATTTCTTTCACTAATTTGCCATGGAACTTAGCAGGAAAAAAAACTGTGTGAGATTCGCGTTAATCTCCCACAAGAAATAGTTAATCAAAGAGCCTCGATTTTATGCAACAGACCCAGCGTCCTTGGCTCGAGGGCAAAGTTATCAATCCTGGGTAATAGAAAACTACTCTTTAAGGGAGAAATATGCTCCACAAACCCTGTGATTTTATCACAATTAACTTTCGGGAATTGACTCAGAATCTGGGAAAAAATGAAATTAAAGAATCCCCCATTTTGAATATTGCTTAGCAACCTAGCCAATTACCCGAGAAAGTTCTCGTCCCCTCCTTAAGTTATATGTTTGGACAATTGGAATAGCATGAGTTCACATACTCTACTCAAATAATGGTTATCCTTCGATGTCTAGATATGAAGCGGTTGGTGGGCCGGGTCACTGTGTTTAGTTCAACGTAGCGACGTTCCTTGTCGGACCTTTGTACATCTCAATGGTTAGGTTTCTCTTTTTAATCTTATAACGCAGTAAAATGTAAATGTTTATGGTTACTTTTAAATGGTAGATATGAAAATTGTATGTTTTCTAGAGCATACTTTTCCTTTAATTTATAATCAATTGGTTGTGCTCTTGTGCACCGCTTACCAGGCTCCTCGGCCAGCCGGCTTGATGACGTTTTCGGCTGCATCAGTGAACCACCGTGATCTGAACAAAGAGGGGAAAAACACGAATAAAAAACAATTTGAAACAAATTTGAAACAGGTTTCAAATTTTTAAGGAGGGCAAATGTCCTCGAATGATAAGGGAAAAGAGATACCTCGTTCCTTCTGCTTTGGGTTTTTGTACACAAATCTGTCAAGAAACCTAAAATATGACAAAAAGAATTTGAATGTAAAAATGATAATTAAAGTATAGACAAGCAAGAAACATAAATAGAGTACTTTCATGATTTTTGTTTATTTGTTTGTTCGCTATTTTTGGGTTGTCGTTTTAGCAGTTGTCGTTGGTGATACTTGTTTTGTTCGTTTGCTACGACAAAGATTTGACAATTAATTTGTCTGCTATCACAAAATTATCTGCTTCGTCAGTTAATGTACTTGCCTACTAACTTATAAAAAAGCTTTTTCCAAATATATCTCATTAATCTATTCATTTATTTATTTGTTTGTTTATTAATTTTTCTCTTTGAAACTATTTTCGCCACCTCTCAGGAAGTGGCTGGTTAACATGTTACAACGGAAAGCGAATAACCGTGTTAAACGGTATAGCTTGCCACTGGTCTCCTACTGCTCCGTGGCAGAGTGCCTGAAGTAGAAATTGGAATTTCGCAGGCTCGACTCCTGTAGGGAGCACAGGAAGTTATTTTACTCCGAGTACCGAGTGCCATTCACTGAATAATATAATTGTTCGACCGTGGCACTTTACCTCATGAGTGTAAAATCTTGCAAAGGATCTCCCTTGTACTCGATATTGTTTCCCTTAAAAAGAGGAGTAAAGGGAATCACCAATAAATCTTATGGACATATGTTGTACAGTCAAGAAAGAAGTAGATAGATTTGACACAAAATAGTTATTCTTTCTTCGGGTAGAAGAAATATTATTGTGATGATGCTGTATGTACGGATATTTAGTGTAATACAGCCTAATGAGACTCACTCACTACCTATGAAACAGGCAAAGAGCCCTTTTCGATTGAGTGTCGTAAAACCGTGAATTTCACTTCCCATGCTAGCAAAGAGTTTTTTGAAAGTAGAATTAGTTTGGTCGGGAACTCAGATTAAATATGGAGGTTTGTTGCCTCAGGAACACGGGATCTACTCTGCAGGTTGAGTTTTTGTGTGCCTGCGAGTTTCACAGGAACAAAGTAACTACAAAGGCCAATCAGATAAAGGAAAGTACCTTTAAGAACCACTAATAGCTCAAAGCAAAAAAAACCAAACTGTCTAAAGAGCAAGAAAACGTGAGCGAGCAAGTCGTGGTTTGTTTCACCTCCTTAGTTAAGTGGTTAAGAAGATGGCGCGAGTTTTCCCATAATGCAATTTGGGCAAAGAAAGCGACAAAGAATATGGAATATTTACAAACAGTAACACTATGTATTGATTCAAGCCATGGGTAATAAAATACAGACATGCTACAACTAACCTTCATAAGTGTATGAGCAAAATGGGAAACTGAAGGATGATAATGTCTGGAAAGCCTATTGAGTTCCCACAGACAAGAGTTTTCTGCCCCGCTGTACAGCGGATTTCTCTGGGAGGGCTTATAGGTTTGACTTTTCTGAGCCCCGCTTACACGTGTTTCAGTCTTTGGGGACTTTGCTGCGTCAGGATGGCGTATTTGTGGCTCTTTTCTGGCTGATGAAACCTCCTCTGTCGTGATTTTGTCCTCATCATCTTCCGAAGGGACGTCCACAAAGTGTTCTTCATCGTCTTCCTCCTGCGGTTATCGAGAATTTCAAAATTGATTTAAATTGAAGGTCAAAATTGACGTGTATTTTATTTGCTACCTGTGTTCCGGAAGAAGAAAAAAAGTCAGTCAATCCTTTCAATTCTACATCATGATAACAAACTTTCTTTTCTTTACATAGGACCGCATTACCTTTGGGGCAATGGCGAGATTTGTCTCTAACACGTTATATTTCGTCCCCTTTTTCTCGGTGATTAAATTTCTTGGAGAAGGTAAATCCAAGTTGACATTTTATTGAATACTATCCTTTCCTGTTTTTCAAGAAGTTCATGCACGTATATGGACCGAGAAATGTATTTGCGCTGACGACATCTATCTAGAAAGCTCTGAATAGTGGAAAACTTGGATTTAGAAGCGCCATACACTGATGTTAGGAAGAACTAAACTGGCAGAAACGTGGTCCATCTCTGTCTGATCAATGGTAAGTGGAATATAAAAGATAAGAATCTTAAGTTCATGTGACTCGACGTACGTTACACGCCCCGCCCTTTCAAATACGAAACAAACATCAAAGAAAAAAATAAAATAAACATCAACTATAACGAAGACAGTAAGAGTTATTTATTTTATTGTTGATAGCTATATCCAAATCACTCAATGCTATTAAACGGCACAAAAAAGGCGAAAAAAAGTAAAATTCTAAGTTGCCAAACTAGCGCTTCTAACAGCAGGTATTGTTGCCATACTCAATCAAAAAGCTAATTGCGTTACAGCGTCAGCTTAGATGAAAACTATCACCGCACGTTTGTGTGTATGTTCCGCCAAACATACGCTGAGCTGCACCCTTTTCAGCTCTTTCTTAGTTCTATCTGAATGGAACAGGATATTAAAAGCTTATGCACTAAAGCAGCCCACTAAAGCAGCCCACGGAAACGATATCCACTATCGTCGAACAACATATTTTCTTACAAAAAAGGTAGAAAAACTTGGGGTTTCATTTAATTACCACCGATTAGATGATAAACTTAGCTACTCTCGTCAATATTTTCTGTATACTGGAAATGTACAGAGAAGTTTACACATAAATCAATTCTGAGATTTCAGAGTAGAGTTTCCTTAATGGAGCCATCAATCCTGTTACGTTCATCTTGTTTCTAGTTCTTAGACTCAAAATCAATACTTTAGGTGCTTTGGCTGATCTCTGATCTGCCATCACGCGTATTCACATTGGCTAACTTCGTGTTCCGCCAAACGTACGCGGTGATCTGAGCCCCAATGAACTCTTTCTTATTTCTTTCAGGATGGAACAAGATATTGAAAGCTTTAGGAATAAACATGCAGCCAAGCAGGCCAAACGAATCCACTAGTGTTGTGCTGCAGGCTATAACAGAAACATACCAACCTTCCTGCATTGAGAAATCCACCGAGTAATAACACAGTGCAGACAACAAAATTATGTAAAGCGAGAAGCCGATGAAGCGCGCCTCGTTGAAATTATCTGGCACTTTGCGAACTTTGAATGCATAAAAAGACGAAAGCAATGAAAGCAACAACACATACGAACAGACCATGAAATATAACGATTTTCCGACCGACGACCCGTACAGTTTACACGTGTAGAAGATGAACTGGGTCGGTTGTATCTTCTCGTTTCTGTATGGCGGATCTGAAGCGAACCATGCGGTTAACAGCACGATGTCAACAATGTTCACTAGAGCAACCAAACCGACTTGGTATTTCACTCTTGAAATGTAACTTTGAAAGGGCATCTCTGAACTGTCGACTTGGAAAAGGACGAAAATGCGAACTGACTTCAGCCACAATATGGATACAAAAGTGGTGTAGATTGCGTACCGGGAAAACTGAATCAAGCGACAAATAGAATCAGTTGGCTCTGCAATGCTCAACAGCGCCAGAGTAAAACTGGAGAAGATCGTAGCAAGAAGGAGAAAACTGAGCTGTCTATTCGACGCTTTCACAATTGGTGTCTCGCGGTATTGCACAAACACAAGAAACATAGCCACGGTCACGCAAAATCCTAACGCTGTCACGCAAGAAAGGAATACACCAGCTGCATCTCTGAAGTGAAGGTTTTTCACTGGCAGATCCTCGCATTTCGTTTTATCGTCGTTCGGCTTTTGTTTATGCGAGCACTCCGTGCAGTTGGTAGATCCAGGTGACTTGCTGACTGTGCCCCCCGGACATGTAACGCACTTCCAACAACATGAAGTGGTCACCTCTTGCCTAGTTCCGGGGGGACACACTTGACTGCAGAATGAAGACTGTACCGTTGTAGCAAAAGTGGCGTTTGCCCATTTGATCGCAGAGTCGTTCAGTGACAACCTTGGCTTCTTAACACTATTCCAAAATCCTACCAGGGCCTTCTTTGCAATTCCCTTGCTATTTATTTGGATGTTCACAATTTCAAAGAACGAATTCTTGGGATCACCTTCGCGGTCAAATTCTACGACGCCAGTGAGTCCCGGAAAACTGACATTTTTCAAGTGGGACAACAGATCCTTTCTATCGGAGCATGCTTTCCCCGGAGGCTCTCGGTCTGAAGCGCGACACCTGAATTGCTTGTCTAAGGCGAATGCCACGGCAAATATGGCGTCTATAAGGTAGCCAAGGTAAGGATCGAACAATTTGGAAACTTCATTGTGTGACAACGGTACATTAGAGCACCTTGGGTCGGCTGCGCTGTCTGCGTCAAGGGTACAACTCCGAAATTTTTTCCAGTATTCATCCCACCACGGATTCCTTCCTAAACGAGTTTTATTCGGCGTTAAGGAATACAAGTGATTCAGGAAAGTTTCACCTTTGCGATCGCGTGGCTGAACGCCAATGGCGCCGTCCAGTAGACGAAATAACGGTCCAAGCAGCCCGCTATCCTCCGTGCTCGTTCCATCACCGAGAATCCAGGTCCGTCGCCCGAGCTTCTGCCTGTGAACTTCTTCGAAGAAAAGCTTCGCATATCCACCGAAGACCCACACCACGATGACTTTGACACTGCTCTGCTGTTTAATGCGTGACACAATCTGCCACATATCAGTAGCAGCACGAAGACGCGGAATAAACTCTGAAAAGGCCAAGCAAAAGGTTCCTCGATTATACGCCTCTTTCTGTAACGCAGAGACGCCAAACCGCCCGTAAGAATCATCCAGAGCTACCGTACCAATATACGTCCATTTGAAGTATTCAAACAGATCTGCTTGCACTCTCGCTTGTTGTCTGTCAGGCGGAACTGTTCTTAAGAAGTATGGATATTGATTGGAACTAAGCTCGTCGCTTGTTGCAGCAAAGCTTATTATTGGGATTTTGGCCATGCTGAGAAGACTTGAAATCTGAACAGCGCTCGCCGAGTCGTACGGCCCAAGAATCGTAGAAACAGGAGCAACAGCATCTCTGCTGTAGCACAAAGCTGTTTCGTTATCCATGCTGAAATTTCTGTTCGTATACATATGATACAAATCTGCATCTCGCACGAAGTCGTATGTTTCTTTAACGGCAACAGACACAGTTTCGCAGTAGTCACGGATGTCGAAGCCGAGAGTAACATTCGGAAGCAATGAAGGGTCATTGTTGATCTGTTCGATCGTGAAGATCATAGCTTCAGCGTGGCCGAGACCAACAGGAAAGAAGCCTAAACCGCATTTGTCGTTCGAATCCTTGTAATGTAACACTGTGAGTCCGCCAAGCATGGCATCACCAGCTTGAAAAGCTCTCTTAAATTCCTTCAAGGCGGCGATTTGGTCAATACAAAACAACCAAACAACTATTCGAGCAAACATCATGAAGAAGCTAAAATAAACATCAGTCGGTTTGGAAACTGAGTTGGTTTTAAGTTCACTGTTGCAACGGTTTTAAGTCGTCTTGTGAAGGGAATACGACTTGTGTGGTAAAGAAGGCTTAAGCCGGCGTAGATTACCAAAAACCATGAAATACACTCACAAGGTGAGCGAGCTTAGCTTATCCTGAGCGGAAAATGTTAATACGCCGTATGAAGGGCCACAATATTCGTTGAGACCTTCAGCAAGTTCTCAGCGGTTATTGGGTAACTCAACAACGCTTTAGTGAAAGATTTCTTTTCGTCTTGTCACGAGCGTGGGACAAAGAAAAACAAAAAAACCGCGCTTTATTTGGAAAGACAATAGCGTCACGCTTTGATAATTTAAGACTTTTCGCCCTCTCGCTCCTCTCGAGGCAGGAGCTTCGAACACCTGATATCTGACTAGGGAAGTTCATCAGACCAAAATGGGGCCTTTGAATTATGTGAAAAAAAAATAAAAGTTGTTTTCTTGGTTCCTTGAAGACCCTAGTTTATTTCAGCTATTAACAAATAAAAGAAGGGAAGAGTTATATTTAGACAGTCGATGATTAATGGTTCTAGGGGGCAACACCCGTGAATGTAACATTTTGGTTCTACGAAAATCTAATCCTTTCAACTAACTCCTAGGAAAATTTAGATAAAGGAGGGCCGAAATTCTAAAGTTAGATTCCTTTTCTTTGGTGAAAAGATGATTTGATGTGATATCAAAATTAGTTCGTTAAGTGCCATGCAAAAACAATTACAACTGAGGGATAAAATTACCATGACTAGACTGTCAAGGGTGCAGTAGAATCAAAACAGCACGAAAAAAAATGATTTTATTGAGACACTACCAATCTCAAGATGTTTTGCTCTCGTTGATGCCTGTTGGAGACATTTCACGCGGAGGGAACAACCTGAGTGGTTCGAGACATCAAGGTTTCAAAACTGATATGCAAAGTTAATCGAAGCAGGCTGACGGGACGGGACGCGACCAGAACCGAGACAATGCCCACTCATCTGTAGAATGTTTCATTTGGAATCTACACGGAGTTTGTTCTCCACACGAACAGTTTCCAAAATGATCTCGTCAACTTTGATGATTGTAATAACAAAGTTATGTTACACTGGTACACGATAATGTGTATATAGTCCGAGGCCACTTTTTATTTTTTTAAAATTTATTTGGCTCTTAGATGCATTCTGAACTGTACCATTTTCGGCTATCTCGATCTTTTTGTGGTTTTCAGTTTGCTACAACATTTTAGTAAATTATATGATCAATTTCCGATTGCCGAAATTTTTTTCTCCGATAATGTGCTTATCTTTTCCGCTTATCCTGAGCGGAAAATGTTAATACGCCGTATGAAGGGCCACAATATTCGTTGAGACCTCCAGCAAGTTCTCAGCGGTTATTGGGTAACTCAACAACGCTTTAGTGAAAGATTTCTTTTCGTCTTGTCACCAGCGTGGGACAAAGAAAAACAAAAAAAACCGCGCTTTATTTGGAAAGACAATGGCGTCACGCTTTGATAATTTAAGACTTTTCGCCCTCTCGCTCCTCTCGAGGCAGGAGCTTCGAACACCTGATATCTGACTAGGGACGTTCATCAGTTGGAACTCGATCTTTTTGTGGTTTTCAGTTCGCTTTTTTTTGAATGCTTATTTTAGGGTGTAAAGGCTTAATTGTACAAGACTAGTATAAAGCGCTGAGACAAAGAAACTACCCACCTCTGGTTGCTGTGTTAGGCTCTTGATTCCTGGCTTCAGCTTTGTAAGCTAAAATGAAACAAGCACCTTAGAGGGAACTGAAGCCTAAAATTGAAACATTTGCTGCTTATAGCAATTTATGTCAATGTTCGAGCGTTTTTTCATTTTTCAAATTAATTTTTTTTGGAGGGGGGGGGGTTTAACTTTGCCTTGAAAAAATTGTTTCATACTGTGTTTTGACCCATTAGCACCGCGGCTCAGAAAATCGATATCAGCAGTTGATATTACGCCACTGGTGTTTGCCGAAGTTGTGTGACTTCTTATGGGGATGAAATTCTTACGGAAATGTTTGGCTTCAACTTGAGTTTGGATTGGTTGTGGATGTCAAAAATCGATCCATGAGTGTGCCTGTGTTGTTTATTCAGTCATTCTTTTAACTTCGCATAATTGGTTTTAAATAGTCGTCCACGTTCTATTCTTTTCCCGAGTGATCATTTAAAAATTCGATGCTTTCATTTATGGAAGATAGTTGCAAATGTGATCAGTAGTCTGCGGGCGAGAGATCTATGGCAAAACTCAGCAGGGCTCTACGCAATCCCGAGACCAGTTTCGCTAGTGAGCCATCCGCTGCAAAGACTTATGTCTTCTACCGATTCGATTCTTCGCTTCGGCTCAAACTGGAAGGGCTACACACCATTCATATTTGCGAAATAAAGACCGATAAATATAAAATTTATCATAATATGCGCTGATATGCGGCCATTTATAGGTGAGAGAGGTGTTTCATTACCCCACCACTGACGTTCAACCGCTGATAATCGTTTTGAGCGCCGACGGTTTTACAGCGGGAAAAAGGGAACTTCAAACCTAGTTTTCTCGTGAAGAACAAGAAGTGAACGAAAATGAATACCGAGACTATATATCATTCCTCTAAAGCTAACTAGAAATGGATGCAACTAAAATCAGAGTTTTAGGCTTCGGTTCCCTTTAAACTTAAAATCACATTATCACAGGCGACCAGTAGGGCTAGAAAACTGAGGGAGTTTGGACGAGAAAAAAAAATGATTGGAAAGTAAACAGTTAGAGGCATTATTAGTGTTCCCTTTCTCATGCAGTAACCGAAGGACTGCAGTACCCCTTACTTCCGCCTTTAATGGCTTGGAATTCTCGAAAATTCAACAAGTAAAAGGATCGCTCGACCGCTTTAAAAATTTAATCTACCTGTCGTACTTAAAATAAGGGAGAACACTGAGAATGAGCCAAAATAAACAAATATCGTCGCTTTCTCATATTGGTAAGGAAATTCCACTATCCAGATATTACGATAGCAGATTTAAATTAAAGTGAGAAAAAGAAAACCAAAGTATCGTCATAAAGAAAGACTGGGTGCCGATATACATGAAAAGGAAGTTATCCTATTACACTCCTCTATTTGCTTTTACTTTTAGACAGAAATCATAAATGCTACGCTGAAAATTCTGTCGTTTCGTTATTTACACTTCCACTGAGACCAAAATCCCTATTTTGCACTCTGTCCCAGTCACTCCGAGCATAAGCGTAGCTCCCAGTACAACGTCCCCGCTCCCGGCCATGCAAATGTTATTTGCACTTTTTGTGTGTGAGTGTGTTTGCAAAATGAATAACTCACCTCGGAAATCATAAATAGCGCTCCACAGACGAATGATGGCTGTTGGAAACTGCAAACTTGTACGATACGTTTTACAAACGCCTAGAAAACAAAGAGACGCGTTGACATACTGGCTGGTAAAATTCTAAAACTTTATAACAGATAAAAATAGTGTTAACACGCTTATCAATAACAACAACAACATCGCCATGTAGAAACCTCCATATGAAACCTGGCTTTATGAGACAAGTTATAAGCATTTATTTGTGTAGTATCTGTTCTCTTTCTTTTATTTGTTTTTTATTTGTTTTGTTTCATCTTATTCATTGTATTTTTTTTTGTTTGCTTTGCAATGGTTTTTTGTTTGCTTGTACATTTGTTTGTCAAAGGAACAGGTTATAAGAGCGTAATTGCACAGATTGTTATTGATGTTGAACACACAGCCTGTGTCCGTCACAAAACCAAACGCACCGTCAACGCGAAAAAGATCTAGCATCGAGAAAAACATGAAGTCGTTTCTCTTTCTCGAATCATTTATACTCAGACAACACACCCTTACCTTAACACGATGCAATGAAGGGTCACTTTTAACGGACTTGTACAAAATATTCAAGAACACGGCCTTTAGAAGCAAGAAAGGAAAAACAAGTTTCATTAATCATGGTGCGCTGAGTTAAGCTCTTCCATGTCCGCTACTTGATTGGTTTTGTTGAAGAACAATTGCGTAATCAAATAACAGAAAACTGCGAAGTAACCACAACGTATTTTCACGGCTTCGTCCAGACCTAGTTTATCACTGTATTTGTACGAAAAAGAAAATCAAAGTCATCCGGAATTGCTTTGTATTTTCTTAACTTTTCTGATTGGTCCAAAAAACTCGCGCCACTTTCGGTCGCTGCCGTTTTCCCGCCTTTCAAGCAGTTTGGTTGTTTTTACTTTGAGCTTTCATTGGTTTTTAAATGTTCTTTCCTTTCTTTTGATTGGCTGTTGTGATTTCTTTGGTTTTGGTTTAACGACACCCAATCGAAAAGCGATCTTTTCTGTGAAACTCTCAAGCACACAAAAACTCAACCTGCTGAGTAGATCCCATGTTCCTGAGGTGACAAACCTCGTTATTTCATCCGAGCTCCTACCCAAACCAACAATACTTCCAAAAAACCCTTCACTAACATGGGAGGCGAAATTCATGCTCTAATTCAATATCAACCTGTTTTTATTAGCAAGTGCCACTGTAGAGGAAGTGTTACCATACTATGAAACATGCTCACCTGTTTACCAGATGTTTTCAGATTTGGATCCAGGAGTTTAGCATAAAGGGCGGAATAAAAGCGATCTGACACGGACTGCCTACGAAAAGAAAAACAATTATTTTAAGCAAACAATACTAAAACTAATGAAAATTCACTTATTTGAATTGTCCAGGCAGTCAGCGGGACCAACTGCAGAGGGATTCATTAAATTTTAAAACTGTAGCTGTTGCGTAAATTCACATCGCAGATCATATAGTCAATAGCAATTTTCATTCCCATGCACTGTACGTGGACAGAGTTTCCAAGTAGCAACGCGTACTTGTTAACGATTCCATAACAAACAAACAAATACAATAAGTGTTACATGTTAATACCTTGATTCCATGACTTGGTAAAGTAACATCAGAGCCTGTGAAATGAATAATAATTTGAGAAAAACTCGTATGTGCACACGGGCTACTCTGATCAATGGCATTGAAAAATTGCTCCTCTGTTATTCATCGAGCAGGTAAAAGTAAAACCTATGGAATTACGAATTGATTTCGGCAATAGAACGAAAATTAACAGAAAATAAAAAGCTTTGCGTGCGGTTTGCACGTTATCGTTTCATACCGCATTTATCGACAAATTTTCGTCACCGTATGCATGCATTAGGATTATGAGGATATCAAAACAAACAAATCAGAGTGTTTTTTCCATGAACACTCACTTGTACACTCGTGTTAAATGTTCCAATATGCACTGTTCGGAATAGAGTGTTTATTTGTTCATTGTACTGTTCGTCCTCTTCTGCAAAGGAGAAGAAATCGCCATCTTTAAAATAGGCTCACAGACTGTGCATGTGTGAACCTGCCTTCATACACGCTTTAATTCTGGTGTTGCGAGGGCTATTGTGTTCAATCTTTGACCCCGAAACTGAATCTAAATGCACCTTTTTCTCTACCAACAATGCCTACACTGTGTCTGTTCCCAAACAAAGTGGTGAGTGTTGTAACAGACTTTCGATACTTCTACCATATTCATCAAGCAATCCACACTTACTTACACTTTTATTACTAAGCCACAACAATAACTCTCTGCTGTTTTATACCTTTTGCATATGGAAACGCTCTGTTTACTCCAGTAAGAAGAGCACTCAACATTTTTGCTTCCAATTCACCCTTTGTTAAAAAAGCCTGTCGAAAAACGCAGACAACAATAATAATTCGTAACAGTTAGGCTACTAGGATTTGGCATCAGCTAACATGCATACATTTTTAACTTGTCAAGGGGACATTACACAGCTCAAGGGATTGGGGGGGGGGGGCTTAAAGGCAGGAAGAGTTAGAAATGAGTGACCTTTATTTATACTACCAAAGCCACATTTGAACGTTTTTAAGTTCAAACTGAGTAACTCATACAAGATTGAAGGATGTTATTCCTTTTGTGGTGAACGCAGGTCGTAGAAAAACTTATTAGTACGGTCCAGGGGTTTCAATAACTCTTTCCTTAAGTGGCTTCCGATGGCGTTATGTCGGCTATGCTGTGAGGCAAAACCCACACACGAGAGCCAGTTCGCTGGCTAAACAGACGGAAGTGGGAGGTCTGAGTGAAACCCCTAAGTATCTGTCAGGCGATGGAAACCCAAACAATCAGAAAACGCGCTTCCAAAGATCTTTACAATTCGTAAGTTTCTTTCGTTACAGTATAGCGTATCCAATTAATTCTACAGAAATGGTTTGGAAGGATCAGACTAATGAAAAATGCTGCCTACAATATTAGAAACAACTAGACTGAGCTACACATTATCAGTGAATGTTACCCTGTAAAGTGTACGTACAGAGAATTAGCTTACCCGAAAGAATGAAAAATATATGGATATAAGTCTGGTGGCAAGTTCACCATCTTGTTTGGTAAGGATTAACTGATTGAGAAAACACACTGCAAAATATCTGCAAAAAGAAAAGCAAACTGAGGCTAGTTGCAGGAGGTGACAAGTCAAACAGTTTGTTTGTTTTTATATCTGGAACTAATGCCTCCTTGCGATATCACCCCTTGTCAAGAAAGGCTGTTGCAATTACTTTGGTTCTGGTTCTACGACAATCGATTAAAAGGCGCTCTAAAAGCAAGTTATATGCATTAGAACTCTAACACTACATGAATAGTACTTACTGAGCTTTAATGGCAATGTTGGGTCGGTAGAGAAGTTTTTCGATCTCCTTGGTGACCACTAATTTCATATTTGGATGTTTAGTTACTGGAGGAAAAGAAGCGAAGCAATGACAAAGTTTAATGTATAAACTATTAGTTCATGCAAAGCATAATTCAAGATAGTGAGTTAATAAGCACAGTTTACATCAAGAAAGGATAGAAGACGTACAAATAGCCAGAGAATTAGACAAAAAAAAGGAGGAAAACTACAAATTAAATGGCTCCACAACTGAAGGAAAAATAGCATGGGAAAGCTGCTTAGTTTTGCTTAGCGACCACAAAAATTGCCTAATCTCCAACGCTTAGAATGAACACTCTGAGTGGGTGGTTACCCCTTTAATCTCTAAGAGTGACTGGCAGCTAATTTGACTCCTAACAGTATTTTTGTTCCCTGTTACTATGCAGAAAAGGCTAAAATTTGCTTGACTGTGAAACCTATAAAACTGACCCCTCACCTAATGATCTTGACAGATAAACTGCTTTTGATGCTATTTTCCTGTCAGGATCTCCTATCTTGTTTATCAGTAGACTTAACAAAACCTGCAACAATAAAAAATACACAAATAAAGTTAATAACATATTGATTAATGACAATAAAACTAGCACTTGATGGACAAATAATCTGCTAGAACATGATATCTATTCAAACTCTTTTTGCCAAAGAAACAAAAATGGTGATGATGAAAATAGTATCACTCCAAATTATCAATTATAATAGTAATTATAATAATAACATTACAAGAAGAAGAGGTAGAAGATTCTACTCACACAAAGACTGGTAACATCCCAATTAAAAATAGTTATACCTAGCTTGATTTGCAAAATGATATTACATTCAATTCATATGTGGTGTGAATCATTCAGGTACATTGTAACTCACTTGTTCCTGTTCTGGTTTCTCTGACAATAAGTCAAACACAGCTCCTGTAAATCAATTTTTGTCATTATAATCAATTAATCAATCATGACATCAATGAACCAAGACTCCTGATGAGCCTCTTTTAAAAGACAGCCATTGTTCTTCATTCCACTGATATAATCAGTGTCAACAGGTTTCTGAAATAGACACTCACAGTTGAGTCAAAGAAATTTGTCAACCATGTTTTTTTTGTTTTTTTGTTTTGTTTTTGGGGGGGAGGGTAGTATACAACCATGTTGGGGATAGTATACAGCCATGTGGGAGGGGGGAGGGGGGGGAGGGCAGTATACTGCCTGTGGGCAAGGTAGCCACAGAGGAAGCCTGTGGATATCTGAGGCACATTGCTATCCTTTTGATAAAGGAATAATCACCGAGCTGAAAAGCTTGTATTGATGAATGAATTCACCTTATCAGAACTAAAGGAAACATATACAGAAGAGTATGAAGTATGAAATACTGATGTTAGCCTGCAAAGGGTTATTGCATTCTTTAAGTCTATCTTACCCAGTATTTTGCTTCTGATGTTTACCAAAGTGTCCTGAAGAAGTTTCTGAAAAACAATCCAAGATATGGGTATCACTTATCAAAAAATATATGAAGATTTTTGTGTATTTATAATTTTTCTTGCTTTCTTTTAATAGTGCTTCAAAACAAAAATCAGTTTCTATATAATTTGTGAAATTATAAAACATAGCTACAAAATATTGACAATGTTCCATGTGTTTTACTCTGACTATTTAAAGTACGATTGTACGATTTTCAGAGGAAACTATTGATTGACAAATACCTCAACAACTTCAACAAACTCTTGATATCTCTGTTTCAGCTGCTCCTCAAAGTACCACAGAATAAGACGTCTGTCTCGTTCATCCCAGCCACCACCCTTGTGGACAATCTCAACTAATGACAACAGTGGATGCTGCACAGTGGAAATATACATCATCATGATGTAAAATAAAACAATAATAATAAAACAATAAAGTTTATAAAGAAAGATGTTTTTGTCTTGTCACAAGTGTGGGACAAAGAGAAAAATTCTGCATCCTCATGAGGAATCCAACCTCAGACCTTCGCATTCCGTCTTCCAATGCTCTATCTTTAGTGCTACATCAATCTCCATCAAAATCTATGCTCCATCTTTCTTATTCTAATACTGTTTCTGTTTGGCAGGCATAAATATGTTATGAACCTGAGTCATTTTAGCCTGAGCGGCTATGCTAAGATAATCAAGAATGAACCAAGGATAAAAGCAGTTTTCACTTGAGATCAAAGTAAACTGCAAAGTGCAAATTACACGTCACATCTTTACTGGTTAATAACTGGTTCATTTGGAAATTATATCCATTTTGCATTAACTTTTGTCACATTGTTAACAAACCTGAGCAAATTTTTTAAGCTTGCGATTATTTGGAAGTAGAAGGGTCATCCAAAGTTCTTTCAACATGTCTGTAATTTACAAAAACATAAAAAATTATCACAATGCACAACTATTAATAATAATTTTACTGCTAATCGATGTCACTTACACCAATTTATGGGTATAAATGAAAGCTAGAACTTTTTAATAGTAAGATATAAAATGGGCAAGACAATGCAATTAGAGATAAAGGAAAAAAAAACATAAAGTTTCCACAAAATCACATTGCAACTCACCTACAGCTATAATACTCTCTCTTCTACCTTTCTTTTTAGCCATGCCAATTAATATATCTAAGGTTTTAAGGCCGTGTACAGCAGATTCCTGTGAAATAAGTCAGGAGGCATAAGAAATAAAATTTAGATCTTTCTTACTCATCATACGCCATTAACAGGAGAGGCTTACAACCTAATTGTTAGCTTACAATCTACCATAATTAATGTTAGCCTTCATTCAGAGACGTGGTATAAAAAAGTTGTATGTAGGAAATTTTCAGGAGCAGCACTCTAAGTATTAAAGAGTAAACAAGCAGGTCATACATGTATATACATGTATGTGTCCTTTAAACTGCTTAGGTCAGTAATAAGGAAAACAGCAAGTGACTATATAGAGCGATTAAGAGAGATTTTGATTAACATTTGAGGATTTATGTTAGTCTACATTTTTTTCTCTCTGTTCATATTAAGTCAGCTGTTTCCTTAAGCTGTTCTTAGACCTACCTGGACTTGAACAGTGAGTGCAGCAACTTTGTCATTCAATGTTCCTGAGCTTACAACAGATTTTAACCACTGTGAATCTGATGACTTCTCTTTTACTTTCACTAAAAAGTACAATTAAAAAGTAGTTAGACCCACTGAATAATTCAAATAAATAGAAATAAGATAGCAAAGCTGCCTCTTCACTTTTGGTCATAAATACCTGAGGCACTCATACTGGTAAGTTACAGATATGTTGGTAAAACTAACAGAAGTATCTGTTGTTGTTTATATGATAAGCCAGAGTATACAAGCACCTGGATGGTTCTTAACTATGATCTATTGGAAGACAGCTGTCATATCACCATTAACAATATTTTGCTTTTTTATCATGTAAGACAAACAGATTCTATGTTGCCATATAGAACAGTAATTGGTCACAGAAGATGTAATGTGGTAAAAACACTCAATTTACTGACATACATGACTGCGCTGAGGTGTTCTTACCACATTTTGATGTTATCTACATGTATGATCTATCATTGGACAAATACACCAAAACATGTCTCTTGATGTAGTCACCACTTGTTAATGTGGATCATAACATTTCAAGTTTAGTTAAATCAGGTCTCTCTAAGACAAGGAGATCTACTAGCAACACAACTTAACATGAAAGAATACTTGCTGTACAGCTACACACTCACTTTTATCATAGATGCCAACTTCCTGCTCAAAAAGATCAGCTGCTTCCCTGGAGAGGCATATAACATCATCCTGACTAGGGGTGGGGGAAGTGGTATTGTCTTCAACAAGCTGCAGAGAAGTACAGAAAAAAAGGCAGTAACAATGAATTATACATTATCAAATTAGTTGATAATTATTATTGATTTTAAAGCAAATATTGACCAAAACAGTGTAAAATTAGTTTAATTCATACATGGATCTAACATTGTTTAGATAAATAAACATGATTGTAGTAAAAATGAAGACACAAAAAGTGTAAATCAACCTGTAGTTTGAAATCATATCTATTAAAAACAAATTCTATACTGTATCTTTACTTACAACTCATGAAGCATGTATGAAGTTTTTATCAAATACAAATGTAGATTCTATGTTGTAGTGTTTCTTTTCAGTAGTAGATCATAGATGACATCAAATGTGCAAGGAACAAAAAAAAAAGTATCACACAAGGCACATGAATATTGAACATAGAGACTTATGAAATAATAAAGTTACTTCTAGAAATGGCAATTAAATTAACTTGATTGTACCCACAAATCAGATAAAAGCTCTTTCTATTTCCTTATTACATGTAACACTCCTCTGTTCTCTTGGTCGGTTTATAATTACAAACTTTTATTTCAAAGTTGATTGAATCGTTGTAAGTCACTTACCAAATCATACCACAAGCCACCAGGTTTAATCAGAAGTTTTTGCCTTGGACCTCCTTTTCTTTCAGGCAAAACTTGGGGGACCTGTGCTGTCACAGTTGATCCTGTAGATTTGGATGTATTTGTGACTTCTGATTCTTTCCTCTGATTTTTCTTCTCTTTCTTTGCACTTTTTTCTTCTTGATCCTTCTTGAGACTTTCCTTAGATTTTACGGCAGTACCTGCACTTTTGTCTTGATTAATATCAAGCTCACTACTGGATAATAATCAATGAAAGCAATTTAAAATCAAACTTTTTATTATCACAGATCCTCAATCAATACCTTATTTGCTTAACGGAAAAATCGTTTCACTTCAAGTTATGCATGATGGCTATCTAGTATGCCAAGAAGGCATCAATCTAAATTTTTATCAGGATACCCGAGTAATTTTTTTCACTCTTCCTTAACATCCATCACTCAAGACTGAGTATGATCGAGCTAGACTGCATGTTAATGAATACTCACTTAAGTTTTTCGCCTTTGAAGGTGACTTTGTCCAAGCCCAGCTCCTTGATGAGTGACATTATCTTTTGAAAAAAATAGAGGCTGGGTGTAAAAAAACACAATATATTAAGGGTATTTAAAGCTTATCCTCTGCGCGAAAGTTTTATTCGTTTAACAAACGCTAGAGTCGTCGTCGTCTTCATTCACTGGGCATGATAATTGCAATTTGCAATACCTCTTTTTCCTCAACATTTCCGGACGTCTCCTCGTCAGCAGAAAATTCATCTGATATATCAACATCTTTTAACATCTCAAAGTCGTCCTGCCACAAAATGGATGTTAAGTTCAATTATAAGTTACAAAGAACTGCTACATGTGAAATCTATGCAAATGCGTATTTATAAACAAAAAAAAATTGATCCAGATGCGAAAAAAGATTTTAAAATGCTACCAGCCTTGTCTCCTCCGACCGCAAGAACATCCTCGAGTGAAAACTCATGAGAATCTTTCGGTTTTCTTTTCTTTTTTCTCTTCGCAACCTTAGCCTGTTTGTCCGCCATCTTAGAAAGTTGCACGTGTGCTGATCTGACTTTCATGTAGTATGACACAGAGCGTGACTCAAGTACCCTGTCATATAAATATAAACGAAAAATGTCGAGAGGAATCTCAAGGCAATATGGCGGACATTTCGGAAAGCGAAACATTATTATCAAGTGTCTCCGCGTATTTCCAAGACCTGCATGAGTGGAGTTATCGGTGTGAAGGAGCCTGGACTATGGTTTTATCGCTTCGTAAGCTGAAAGCTGTCTTGCGTTTGCGAAAGCGCTATGGTAATAATTCACTTTCCAAAGCAGATCAAGAAAATTGCAACTACATGAGAGAGATCTTACAAAACCTTGAATTCGCTAAGCACGTTATGTCACCACTGATGGGAGAGGACTACGTTCATGTGGGAAAAGTGGTTTCAGTTCCTGAAGTCTTTATATCATCAATGACCGAAATATGCCGAGGCTTGCGTCCCGATCACAGACTTGATAAAGAGATTGACGAAAGTTGTCTATGGGGTGTAGTCATGCCAGATTTCTGCTTTCTACCTTCTAGTGGTATACTCTCCATTGAGACTGAAAATGAAACGAACTATCCAACCTTCTCTGTTGAATTAAAACCAAAGTGTGGCTTTCTTCCTTCGTCAAAGTACATTGATCTCAGTAGAGTAACAAAGTATTCTGTCTGTCAGTATTGTATGCTTCAAAAATCGAAAGTCAAAGAAGGAAAGTACAAGAAAGAAAGCAATTATTGTCCTTTGGATTTATTCTCTGGGGATGCTAGGAGAGTCATGTACGCCTTTGAGTGTCTGGTTTCTAATCCTCAAAATAACTTTCGTGTTTTTTGTGACGGCGTTGCGATATTCACGGAGGAAATCGTCGAGGGATTTATTCAAGAAGGGATTATGTGTTGTGCAGAGTGGTGTCTTGAGATGGTACTACAAAATGCAAAATTTTTTGTGGAAATTAAAAATGAAGATAAATTGTACGCCAATGCTACAAAAGAGCGCCATGATCTTAGCAATTGTGTGACAACTAGAATGGAACATTGCGTGACAAGCACGATGGAGGGTTGCGTGACAACTCGTGGAAGCAGTATGGAGAATTGTGTGACAAAAGAGGATGATCAGCATACCATGAAGGCAGATGAAAAAGGTAGAGATAACTGTACTACAAATCCACATGAATGTGGTCATGTTGGTCCCTATTCAAGGAAATTTCTGGAAATTTTGCTGAAAATTTTCATAGATGACTCAAACAGAAGTTACCCCAAAGTGAACGATGTGATTAAGTCACCAAATGCTTCCATGTGTAAAAGAAGCAATTTTCTTAAGTCTAGTGTCGGTATCAACAAAAGTAATAATTATGAGCTGTTTGGGAATGGTGGGGTCCTACAAAATCTTTTGTTAGTGCAGAAATTAGATGCCATTGATGTGGAGGGAATTTACCCTCTGTACAAGAGGGTGTTAAGTTATTTTGAGTCTAACCCAGGACTTAGAGAGAGTCTTGGTGTCGATGGTCCTTTCACCACACCATTATGGCAAAGGGTTGCCTCTTCTCTTCATGGTAACATCTTAGATGCTACTTCATCAGCACCTTCAATTACAGATCCTAACTCTGATCTGAATGACAAAGTGAACACTGATGATAGGCTACTCAAGGTCTGTCAATTTGCCGTTGCCTCTACTGCAAAGGATTGCTCTATGATGGTTTCTTTTCGGAGAGCATCAAAGAAAGAAGCTTCTCTACCAGCCATTGAAATAACTAGTAATGATATTTATAACTACAACATTGATCTGGTTGATTTGGATCCTAAGGAATTTGATCGTGTAGTGAAATACTATAATGACAGTAGAAAAACTGTGAAGGTCTTCCTTGATCATTAATTGAAAGCATCCTCATCACTGTCAATATCAGTATCTTTATCATCATCATCAGTATCATCTTGAATAAACAGTGACTTTATTATTCTCATCAGTGTCATCTTCAACATCATCATTATCATCATCATCATTCAGTATCACTTTCATCATTATCAGTATAATTTTCATCATTATCAGTATCATCTCCATCATCATCAGTATCTTTATTATTATCATTATCATTGTCATCTTCATCATCATCATTATCAGTATCATCATTTTCATTACTATTTCTACCAGCTGTTGGGCTTGATCTACAGCTGCACTGTGTTCCACCACTGGTAGGGTAATGGCCAAAATCCAGTCAGTAAAATTGAACAAATAATAGTGAACAGTGCAATAGTAGCAGTAGAGTGAAGAAGTGATGGAGGTTTGGCTGTAGGTCAGCCAAAACCTCCCCTGTTTTTGTTCACTTGTCTGCTTCCATCATGCCATTTAACATATAGTGCAAATAACAAAAAGATGATCTCAATAATAAGTTAATTAATAAGTACACAAAAAGCCAGACCATCAAAAACCTTCATATTATCAATATTTATTGTACTATTCCAAAAAACATACATCCATGGAAAATAAATTAAAGCAATGCAGCACATGCCATTCAAATTGTTTCTTATTGTTCTTGTTACAAGGTGACTATTATCAATAATCACCTGACCTAAAGGTGCACGACATAGAGAAGAGTGTATGGCACCACAAATACGAAACTAGAAGAAAAATAATACCTTGAATATTTTTTTAAACAGTTATCCAGCTTATTCATGGGAAAAATGTCACTACTTACTGTAATGGACATATGCAAAATAAAGGTTTAAATACCACTACATAAATTATGTTGTTGAGATATACTCACAGTACTAGCAAAGCTTTGTAATCTATTCTAATGCAAAGTTAAGTACTAAATGTTTACTGTTTGTTGATATTTGTTTGTTTTGTGATAATGGTAATGACACTGAAAATTACACAAGTTTATTGATAGCATTCAATGGTTGCAATTTTCATTTTCTGCTCACAACACAAGAACAAAACCATCAAAAAAAAACAAACCAACCTCAATGTTTTTCAATGATCATTTCCCTTCCGTGCTGTGAAATTTATGTTTGATTCAATTTTAAGGCATGTTTGATGAGAGGGAACCAGTGTTGAGTTTTATTTGAGTTAATAATTTATCACAATTGTAAATCATTTCTTTAGCGAACCTTTTAATAATATCAAATTACTAATAAGAATATTAAGTAGAATTGTTTTTCAACACAAGGGTAAAAAATTGTTACGACATTGACACATGTTACAGATTTTGATTCAAACTTAAAATTTGATTGCTTTAAAATTAATCCCATCAGCCAATCATTACAAAGAAAAGTGGCAAATAAGAGTTAAAGGAAAACTCAAGTACAGGAACAGGCGAGAGACCAAGCCTTGATTACTTGAAAATGTGGAATGATTTAGATGTACAAATCACACTAGACAACTCCAAACATTTTATAGTTCCCTACAGTAATTAATGCTATATAAATGCTACTTTAGGAAAAATAACAAATCTCAAAAGCAATTTTAACAGTCCTAAGGGCAACTAACCCTGAACAATAGAACAATGGCACCTGGGCAAGACAAGCTTAACAAAAACGATTTTATTCCATTGTAAGATCATCAATCCAATCATTTCAATTGGATCTTATCAAGAATTCAACTTACCTAGGTTAGTATTATCTTATGTATTTTCTAACTCTTGAAAACTACACTTGGAGATGTTTAATCTCATTTGAGCTCTTTACACTATTTGACTCTTACTGCAACTTTTGACTCGTTTCTCTTACCCGTTGTACAATGCTGTAAACTGAACCTCAAGAATTCTTGACCAAATAAAGACCTACTTTCCCTCTAGTGGTTAATAATTGCTCTGTGTTACTTTATGTTACATCTAACTTAAACTGCAGCAAATAGCTCAACAATTTTACCATAGCTTAAACCTATTAATGTTTGAAATTTAGAGCCTTAGAGCAAGCAACACATACATGTAAGCAAGTGTCATTCACTAAATTTGCCATATATAGCACTAAATATAACCGTTTATTTAAAGATTCAGGCCTAGGAATTCATTGCAAAACCCTTGCTGAGGTACCAATTTTCTTTAAACTGGCAAAATGGCAGCTTATTTCCCTCTGACGGTCTTCACTTCACTAGTGCTTAAAGGTTTCACACCCCAGATTTCATCTGCATACTGCTTGATGGTCCTGTCACTTGAAAATTTACCAGAAGATGCAATATTCATGATTGCCATGCTGTGCCAGTGGTCGGGATCCTGTGAAGCCAAGTACAACAAGTAAATCTTAAGAAGCTCTTTTACTGGCCTACATGGCAAGCGTATTTTTCAGATCCGCCATACTGGTCAAGGAAAGGGGATCCAGTCGTTTCGTACTCGGTCTATTAGTTCCCAAATTCAGACGATTCGTAACCAGTTTGCGTCGGTTCGTTACTGACTAGCTGGTCGACTCGCATCCATCTCATTCAGTAAAGATCAAAACCTAAGAGATCTCACGAAAAACCTCAACTTGTGCGTTCTCTTTATAAACAATTGCTTCCTAGAATACTTTCTTCTCAGTTAGTCGAGTTTTAAGCGTCAATTGAGATGTCGCATAAACCCCTATCAGCCACATCGCTCATACATTTCAAAGACCCGGTGAAATTGTGGACATATGTATAATGCGGACATAAATTAAGAATGTTCCCGAATAGAAATATTCTTGGATCTGAATCGCACCTGGAATACTTCGCTGACCCGTTCTTGACATTTCACGTACGCATCAAAATCTCCCATCAGAAGGAACCTGCCAAACAGAAACAGGGGGGAAAATAAACAATATTGTAACGTGGAGTTTTTAATTGAAGGACTAACAGCCTCTTTATTCATGTGGTAAACGCCGAGGACTCTGAATTAAAATCTTTAGTTTCAAGCGATACGTTGAACGAATTAAAAAAAGTCAGTGAGAAAAAAAAAGAATAGATATTGGCGCGCCGCGTAGAACTCCGCGTGGATTACACGGCACTAACTTTCTTTTTTCACCGATAGTTTTTTTTTTCAAACTCTTGCGACGGACATCGTCGAAAAGCAGGGAATATACATAGTCTATCAGGGAAATGATATTCGGTAGAAGTGCGGTCTAACATAAATTTGAATTGTTAGAGATCGGGCAGGCCAATCACTTAAAACGTGGTAATTTGGTATTATCAACTGAGTTGATAACGTAAATTGGCCACCGTTCGGAGTTTCAAAGCTGACGTTTCAAGCGTCAACCGCTCTGACGAAAGGGCTAACGCTCGAAACGCCAGCTTTGGAACTCTTCACGTTGACCGATTTACGTTATCAACTCAGGTGATAATATTGCGTGCTTACCTATCATGATGCAGGAGAGAATTGACAATATCCTGGAAAGCACCAGGTTCAGTCGGTGAAAAGTGATTGTCTCTGATCTGATTGATGGCTTTCCTGAGTTCAGTGTTGTTGTCGTAATAATCCATTGGCTTATAGCTACGAAAATAATTGATTTTATATCAATTATAAGCGCTACTTGGTGATCTTCTTATATTTTTAAAGTGATTTAATATTTTGGAAGTCATAAATAGTGTACAGCAAAAAATCATGTAAGTCCCCTTGTCCGAAAAAAAAAAGCAGCCAGTTTTTGTAGTGGGATAAAAGTCAAGGAGCAATTGCAAAACGTCTAGAGTAGATGACCTATTGAAAAACTGCAAAGAATCAAGAGGAATTTAAAACCCGGCAAATTTTCCTTGACAAGTGCACTAACAGAGAACTTTTCAAAGTGTTACCAGTATAACAAGTGTACCAGCATAAAGTACCAAAGAGTACCAGTACAACAAAGAACCCCGCCCCCCAAAAAATCGTAATAAAAGTGAGAACTCTGTGACGTCCCTCAACGATGTCGGGCCTGGATTTATTCTAGTTGTTACAGCGGTATGTAGTCGTAGTTTAAACAATTTCCCAGTTTTACACCTGAATTTAATGAAAAGCTACAGTATTAATCGCATGTGTTGTTTGTTAATTCTATTGCTCACCCTTTTGCTCTCAAGGAATTGACTTCGTCAACAGTCATTCCAAAGATGAAGATGTTTTCGCTGCCCATCTCCTCCCTCATCTCCACATTGGCTCCATCAAGCGTACCAATGGTCAGCGCACCATTCATCTTTCATTTGAATAAAAACAGGAACCCTTCGATCACTCATTCAATGTAATTTTGAATTTAAAATTTCAACAATTTCACAGTACATTATCACGTTTAGTTGTTATTTTTATAAGATGTCACGATTCATATATATGTTTTCGGTACATCGAGCAGAAAGCAACGACATCATTAATTATTCTTTTCGGAGAAGCGCTCAAAAGTAGAGAAGAATGGGCCAAAACAATTTCTCTACCGGACCTCGTAAAACTAGCTCCTCTGAGTTTCAGTAGAGCAAGGTTCAACTTTTACGCGCGGATTTTTGACAATTATTCACATGAATGGCTAGTAGTATGGTATACATCTGTCAATCCTTTAATCCCTTAAGAGTGACTAGCTTCTGATTTCCCCTCACAGTATCACACCTTGAATCAAATAAAAAGCCAAAAGAGGAAATGATCACCAAATTCAGAACCTCCTGATTGTCAATCGAACGGGAAAGGCCTTAAGCAACGCGAATCGGCGAGAAATCTGCGAGGGGTCATGCACTTTTAATGCCAGACCTCGGCAAAACTATCCCCAACTCGTATCATATCTTCCCGCGAGCGGGCGAAACGGAGAAAGGCGTCGCTTAACAAAATTTGACAAGGAAGAGTTAATTAATTAAATCAGCGTACATAAGATGAGAAGGTTGGACATGGTGTCTAAAAGGCAGTGTTACATACCATGAATTTCATGTTTCCTGTCCCAGATGCTTCAGTCCCCGCCAAGGATATCTACAACAAAATATAAATATCAGACGATTCCTAACATCCATCAATTCATCAATTCATCACCCTAAAATACAAAGGCAAACTGAGCACTCTACATCACGCCATCGTCAGTCTTAATCATATCAGACACATTGAGCCAGAAAAACAAAAGAGATCGAGTCATATGCCAATTACAACAGAAAGGTGACAATTTAAACCCTTTGAGAAATCGCACTTGTTTCTTGAAAGACCTGCAGTGCATTTGTCATAAATTGCGTTGGAACTATAACTCAAGTTGCAACATATTCAGAGCTCGTTACAGTACGTATTCTGCTTGGCAAGTCTCGGTGCTGTTTCTAGCTCTCCTATTTAAATGCGCCATCAACTGATAAAATGAAATGAAGACCTAAGAATGAACAACAAGCTTCAATAAAGGTTATGCGAATTTACCTGTTCAGAGAGGTCAGCTGCTGGGATAACTGAGGAACGATGTCAAGAAATTCAATTGCAAATATTAAAAAATTTTGAACATGCACCGAACATGTGCTTCTCCAACTTGAAGGAAGAGTTAATTTTCTGCGCTGAAGTTGGATGTGCAAAAACATACACAATGAAAAGGTCTTGTGGTCTCCAAGTCTTTTGTCGTGTGGTATTACAAGGCCCCTTCTTCAACACGCCAGAAAAAACACGAAATGCAAATGTAACGTACAATAAACCCTTCCGTCCGTAAATGTAAAAATGTTCTCTAAAAACAGAGCAGTTTTCGAAAACGCTGACCCATCTACCCTAAGCTTCCTATTTTTATCCATTTACTAGCATGATAATTAGAGAAAAAATTACATTACAATCTACTTGTTAGAAAGCTTGAATGAAAAGGATACCCTTCTCAGCAAGTGAGACTCGGTAATTTTCAAGAAACACAAGTTTGAGTTTGTCCCCGATGATTGGATCATTGTTCACCACTACAAAAGAAAGATCGCGCAAAAAAACTAGTAATTACACGCAGAGTAACACGGTAAAGAAAACAATAAAGTTATCTTGCTACCCAGCTATACCAAAACCATAAAAAAGGCAGGCTTGCGTTTTTCCTTTCAACCCTTTCATGCCCAAAAGTGATTAACATGTAACGTCTCCCTATTATATCTATACATTATCCAGGAAACAAGTTTTGAGAATACCCAAACTTATCAGGTAGAAGTTGTCAGTTATCTTGATCTAACACCGGACCCTCGTAACTGCGTTACAAGGAAATATGTGGCTGCCAGAGGGAAGAATTAACAATCAAATCTTGGGAGTAAAAAGGCTAAATACATCAAGTTAAATGTAATAAGTTAAAAGTGTCATCTCCTCTCATTTTAAACATCCATAGGCAGTGTTTTTACTCGTTAAAAAAACAGCAAACGGACGCAAACAAAGTGGAAGTAACGAGTGTCAAATGACAAGCAGGCATTGTTCCTTTGGTACCTAACAATTAAAGGAATAAATAATTCCATATTTGTGAACATATTCCCACCTTTGGCAATGCTGTTGAAGAGTTTAATGATCAGTTTGGCCATGTAGTAGCCTGGAGCTGCCTGCCAAAACAGAAGCACAAATTCTAACAATAAAGTAACAAAAAATTGCATTCCCAATATAAATAATGCACATACTAACCTTTCCTCCAATCATGACAGTGCGTGGAACAAACTCCATGCCTGGATTTGCCTTAAGTCCTGTGAATTACACAATAAACAACACAAGATTACATGTTTAATATCCATATCAAGACCACGTTCCCTGGCTGAAAATTTTTACTTCATACTACTGACTCAACATCTCTACAACTTTCCATTTATAATATTCATATAAATTCAGTGGTAAACGGCGCGAAAGTACCGGAAGAATGAAATAAAACGAGGGAGTATGGGTCGGGTCTCGTACAATATGCGACCCGACCCAAACCTTCCGCGTCTTCTCACTATAGCGCCGTTTATTATCGCGCTTCGTTTTATTAACTGATCACATAGAAGCAAAGACTATTGAAGTGTAACGAGGAGATACATTAGGTTTAAATGAATCAGAGGATTGCTACATTTAGAATTTCCTACGTTCCTATTTTCGGCTAAAAAGAAGTTTCCTAAATGTACTTACGGTTGTACATAATTATAACATGAAGACAGTTCATAAGCTGTCTCTTGTACTCGTGAATCCGTTTTACTTGCACGTCAAAAATGGAGTTCACATTGACGTCAATGCCATACTCTCTCTTGATGTAATCTGTAAGTCTGATCTTGTTCTCCTGCAAATGCACATGGTGACGCTAATATTAGCCTTTAATCCATTGATGAAAGAACTAGCGAATCAACTGATGCACGAAAGATTAACGGAAGAATGGTTCTGACGTAGGGCTAACGCTCGAAACATCAGCCTGAGGATCTTTAGGGCGGCCAATTTACGTTATAAACTCAGTTGATAAACCAAGTTTGGTAGTAATACTTCTCTGAAAACACTCATGCAGACTATTTCAGTTATTGTTAGACACATTTTCACATTACGCAGACAGCTCCTGGTCTATGGTGATGGCGTTTCTCCTTTCGGAGGGTCCCCCCATTGTTTGCTATCTAGAAGGCGATATCATACATGTACAATGTATGTTTTATTTTGTCACAATATGGCCAACTTAGGCCAGCACAGCAATGAAACGACTGATAGTTTTTCCTTGCATTGCAGTATGTATGCAGCTGTTTGCATATATGTTGTCGGAAACAAGTGCACACGACAATCTCGAAAGGTAATCTGGGTATTCGATAATCAAATGAATTTTAAAACGCAGAAAAAATAAATATGGACAAAAGGACTTAAGAAGAGAGGAGAAATGTATGTGTACACCAGAGGAACAAAACCATCCAATATTACGTTATAAACATTTTTCTTTAGGTCATTTCTAATTCGCTCTCATTGAGTTTGCATCGTTTTCGCCGTTCATTAGGGTAAGTTCGTTCCTTTTTTCGTTTTTCATCAGGTTTAAAATTGTAATCAATATTGCGAAGAAGATAAATTCCTCAAACCCGCTGTGCCTCTTCCTTACAATAATGTTTCTAAGATTTCCCTGAAATCCTGCGGTCAAGGAACCGTGATCTGAAAACACCTACAATGCAATTCAGAGTTGTCGTGTGCACTTTTGCGGTTTTTCCGAGAATCTTTATGTACACACCTGAAATCTGCAGCATCAGAAAACTAGAGCAATGGTCTATAAAACTGTGCTTTAACACTGTCAGTTTTATGTGAAGACTGGAAAATATTAAAACCAAAGAAATACTAACCTGTTTGCTCCTCATGATAGCATGTTTGAAGTTTCTGTCATTGACATACTTCTCTAACTTTCTGAGCTGAGAAAGATCAGTGATCCATCCTTCACCAATTTTCTACAACAGAATCGCATTAAATATAACATATTAAGAAACCCTAATAAAACAAGTAAAAAATTGGTGGTCTCATCCAATTGGAAGGTTTTCTAGCAAAGTAACAAAACAGATGCAGACGCTCGTCATCAAAAGGGTTAAAATTCACTTTGATCAACCTTTGAAGGAGAATTCTGCAATGATTATAGAGAGGAAAACACTTGTCATTTGAATGAACGTAAATAAAAAATTAACCCTTTCACTCCCAAGATTTGATTGTTAATTCTCCCTGATAACTGCTACACATTTCCTTGTAAATAAGTCATGAGAATCTGGTGTCATATCAAGATAACAACTTTTATCTGATAAGTCTTTGTATTCTCATTACCTGTTGGCTGGGTAATGAACCGATATTATAGGGAGAAGTTACAAGTAAATCACTTCTGGGAGTTAAAAGGTTAACAGAGTTTTCATCGATTTGTATTACCTCGCAGATAAGATCTGACAACCCAGGGTTGCAAAGAAGAAGCCATCGTCGAGGTGTCACGCCATTGGTCTTGTTTTGAAACTTCTCTGGAAACATCTCATAGAAGTCTTTAAACCTATGAAATTATTATAAATTAGATGATCATTTTAATCGTCAAGTCCAACCATTTGCAGGTTTGCTACTGCATGTACCACATAAAAGAATCTCGTTTCACGATTACATCGTGTGTCAATCACACTTACACAGAGATTTTGAGAAGTTCAGAGTGAAGAGCGGCTACTCCATTGATTGCATGTGAACCAACAATGCACAAGTGTGACATGTTAATGCGTTTTTCAGGTCCTTCTTCCACCAGAGACATTCGTCGCATTTTCTCCAGGTCTCCTGGCCACTTCTCTGTTACTTTCTGCGAACAGATAGTGAAATTACGTATTAGGTGGAACGCATAAGCCCGATCATGCTGCATTGAGGAACAAGAAAAATTTTTCCTCACAAAGTCTCTCTCCATCCCAATAAAAAATAAGTGAATATTGGTCATGGCCAGTGGAAGCCTCAGAGGTTAGAGTGAAAGTAAACCTCCTGTCAACTCCCTCATTCCATCCACAGGATGTACTGGTTACAATCTATTAAGGCTAAACAAACTAGAATACAAATTTGTGGCAATAAGTATAAAAGGTGTGGGGGGTCACTGTGGTTCATACATTACACAGATCACCCAATACTATTCCTTACCTTTAGGAAGAGAGCATTTATTTCATAGATGATCTCCAGATGGCGGGGCAGAATGTATTCCAACATGTGTACTGGCCATCTTTCTAATGCTTCAGGAAGAACCGTGTGATTGGTGTAACTAAAAGTCTTCACACAAATATCCCACGCCTATGAAGTCAAAACAGTACACATGTATGGAACAATATGCACCAAGGTGCTGCTTCATATCTCATATAAGCCTGTAAGCTGGTCCTCAGTGTGAGTGCCTTGGCACAGGTGTTTCTAATAATTATTTGTTTGCCTTGAGCAACACAAGCCACTGAGAGGTCGGCAAGGGGTCTGGTACTCTCAAATCTCCACGCAGAAGGAGTGATGCACCTCCTGCAGCACTAAGAATGAGGGCCTGTTTTCAGGCCAATCTAGCATCCATCACATGAATTAATTTCTGTACAAAACTTATTTCTTTATGTCAGTGTATTGCAGATACATGAATAAAGTGGGTAAGTTTCTAGGCAGCATATAACAGTTTGCAGATTTTCCCTACATCTTGGCAACTCAGAAAGCCACAAGACTCTAGAACAAAAATTTATCTTTCAAATCCGTACTCTTCATCCCCAAAGTATAAAACAAACACTTTTCATTCAACTAATTTATTCTTTTTTTCTCATTACAATGTCCAATTTCTACACATAAACAAACACACACAACCCACAATTCCTCAATTCCCTCTGACGAAGGGCTAACACTCAAGCGCCAGTGTTGTAACTCTTTGCAGTGGCCCATTTACATTAACTCAGTTGATAATACCAAATTACATTGCAGATATACATTTACAGCTTTGTTCCTTCAATTCCTTTCAATCATTCAGAAATGTGGTCACAACAAGTGAACTGTTTCATGCGCTAATCTTGGAGATAAAAAGCCTTTACATATATATTATACATCTTTAGAACCTCTTTTATGTATAAGACATATTTGCATGAAGTGAATCAAATAAATCCAGTCAAGTTTCTCCTAATCCTCAACAAGTAAAAAAAAAAAAAAAAAAACAGCTACAATCTTTTTAACGTTGATTTGTTCATTACTTTGTTTGGCTATTTTTTTGCTTTCTATTTTTTTATTTTTCTGTTTCTGCTTATTTACATTTGCTGTCTTACCTTATCCCAGCTGAGTTTCTCAATGTCCAGGAATACTCTCATGAGTTCTGGAATGGCTAGAGAAGGATGAGTGTCATTCAGCTGAATAGCAACCTGAAAAATAAAACAGCAGCTCTGTGAATAAGCAAATAAACCCTTAGCATCTAAGAGTGACTGACATCTACCTTCTCCTTACATTAACACCCTTGGATAACACATGTAAGTCACAAGAATAGAAGAAATGATCACCAACTAAAGCAGTTCTTAATTGTTAAACAAATTCTTTTTCGGCAGCACCTTAGGAAATGTAATGAGAACATTAAGGAGAATATGCATACCCATGTTAAGGTGTAGAGGGTTTATCACTTCTCTGTCATTCCTAATTTTTTTTCTTTTTTTGTTACTGTTAAAAATTCAAGTAAATGCATATTAATTCTCCCCTCAATCTTCACATAAATGATAAACAGGTACATGCAGATGATGTCAAGTCCATATATAGCACAGCTACTACATAATGTGACCTTACTCTCAATGAATGAATAATAAATTGATTTTCACAGTGTTGAGCACTACTTAAGTAGTAGTAAAAACAAGGGCTGAAAAAACTTCAGGCCTGGACGGGATTTGAACCCATGACCTCTGTAATATCCATGCAGTGCTCTACCAACTGAGCGAACAAGCCAACTGGGAGCTGGTCATTATGTTGGCATGCAAAAAACCAGTGAGGTGATATTACGCAGACAAGAGATGAGAATAAAGAAAAATATAAATTAGAAGATTATTAGTTGATCCAACATCAAATTCTCCAAACTAACATAACAAGAATCGAATTCCAGACAGTAGGGAGAATTACTAATGAGATCTGGGAGCCAAAGAGTTAACACTGAATGACTAAGAATCCTTCCACTGAGGCAATTCTGGAACTTACCTTGTCTGGAAAATCCTCAAAAGTTGTGCGAACAGCTTCTCTGGAACCAAATTTTGGGGCTTTGTATCTTCTAACAATGTCAGTGAGTGTGGCAGAAACCATAAAGTACTGTTGCTTCAAGCGTAGCTCCTTCCCCTCAAAAAACTGAAAGAAAATAAAAAAATTTAAGGATATTCATGTCGAGTTAATTAGTAATGAGCAAGTAAATTTCTAGAGCAATTTTTAAATGAGCATCAAAAGTAATCCCACATTGCATTGGTTTTGCTTTACTTTGAACACTTTGTGATTGATTCAGAAAACTTGCGGTACTTTCTCAGTCAATCAGATGCAAACTAAAACCATTCAAAGACTTTGTTACCCACAAGTACTTTGGTTGGGTTTACTTTGAGGTCTCATTAGTTCTTAAAGTTAATTTCTTTTCTTCTGATTACCATCAAAATTAAAAAACATCTTACATTATCATTTGGGTATAGAACTCTTGAAATATTCTCTGCCACATTTCTGTCCAGTACAGCTTTTATGTAATCTCCATCATTAACTGGAAAAAAGAATAAAAATATATATATTAAAAAAGAAACTCAACCAGTTTACTATTCAAACATTTTTGAAAACTACTAAAGTTATAAATCAACTTGATACACTGCGTCTGCCAATAGTCAAGATGCTAATAGGTAATGGCCCATCATTAACACATTATATATATCCATAAACATATCAAAAACAGTCAAATACAGATTTATTTTGAGCTAATCAACACATGAATTCCTATCTACAGATGGCTGCAAAATTAAAGAACAAAGTGATAGGGGTTTAGAGGTTCTTTATCAAATTGCAAACATGTATGTTAGCACCAAAAGAGAGAAAAAAAGAAGTCCTTGCAGAGACAGTACATGTATCTTTCTTGGCATTAAATAAAGAAAAACATAATATCATACACAACTGCCACACACTCTGAGGGAAAAAGTCTTGATAGCACAATGCAAAAAATTGTCTTGGAGGAAAAAAGTCTGCTTATTGTCACAGAAACAACCTACTCACTGCCACATGACTTGCCACTTGAGTATCCCTGACTTCAGTAGTTACTTACAGTATGAAAGATCAAAACTCTTTGGAGATTTAGCTGCCCACAGTCTCATGGTGTTACAAGTGTTGTTGCCATAGCCAGGGATGGGTTGATCGTAAGGCATAGCATACACTGTACTTGTATCAACCCAGCGCTTTGTTTTGCCAGTTACGTCTGACTCAACTCTTCCATAAAAATGAACAGGGATCATGTACTCTGGTCTAGCCTTTTCCCAAGGACATCCAAATTTCAGCCAGTCATCTGGCAACTCAATCTATGAAATGGTGAGTGACATGACTCATTCAGTATTATTGAGTTAAAATTTACCTTCTAAATCAAACCACAATAAAATTTTAACAATTCCTAAGTTTTCACCTCATTTAATTTTAATAACTCTCTTTACTGTCTGCTATACAATTCTTTTTCTGTTAGTGTCATTCCGAGAATTTCATTTTGGATCAACAAATAAAAATCACCTAGTAACTGTTATTCTCCTCTTTCTCCTTTCTCTTCAGCTTGATATTGTATCAATGTTGTAAGGAGAAATTCTGTATTGGTCAGTTATGGGGGGTTAACGGGTGATCACAAGGCATGGAACTTATATCTTGCCCATTGAAACCTGTACCATGGATGTGCACTTTGGCCCTTGTCACCAAGTAACCAAAGCATCTCAATGTTATTCCGATTTATTCCATACATTTTAAGACATTGCTTTGGGTCTTTGGGTTCTTTTGGTAAATGGGTATTTTTTTTCTAACTTGTTGGAAATGAGGAAGCTATAATTGCAACCTAACCAAATAATACATACCAATTGCTCTTTTTAGGCTACAGAAGTACATCATCACACAAAATGACTGTTTAATCCTTTAACTTCAAGAATTGATCAACATGTTACTTCTCCCTACCACATCCAAACTCTATCCAGCAAACAGGTAATGAGAATACTCAAACTTATCAGGTAGAAGTTATCTTAATTTAACACCAAAATCTCATAACTAATTTACCATGGAATGTATAACAGCTGGAGGGGAGAATTAGCAACCTGATCAAAGGTTGATAGCAATGAATACAACCAAAACACAGTGTAGCTATCATCTGGGAAATTTTTCCCAGACAGAATTTGGAATGTTACCACACAAGCTTTATTCATATGACTTGTACTAGTAAATATTCAATGGCAGACATAAAACCAAGGAAAAAAACAACATATATATATACAGCTGTAACACTCACCCACATAAAAGAGGGGTAACAAAAGGAAAGAAGTTATTTCACAGACCTGATTTCCATGACTGTCAATAGCTTGTTTGAATATTCCATATTCATATCTGATTCCATAGCCATATGCAGCATAACCTAAGGTAGCCAGTGAATCCAAAAAGCATGCTGCCAATCTTCCAAGACCTCCATTTCCAAGACCAGCATCTTCCTCAACTTCCTCTAACTCTTCCATCTCAAGGCCAAGCTATATCAAGCATAAATAATTCCCTCAAAATTACAAAAATTATACTCTTAACAGTAAATAATTTTGCACCAGGGAACGTGGGTTGAGTGAGGAAAAGTCAACATTTCAAATAGTGTGACACAAATATAAATAGAGAATAATACATGGGCAGTCACATAGATATGGAATTTCTCTTTAAGTGTTAACTTGATAGCTCACAAGTTACAAAATTCTCATTTATTATTTTGTTTATCATATAAACACAGTAGCCCTATACTGGGAAGAAAAGCCGACTTCATTAATGAATGAAGATAAATGAATTGACAATCCCCGAATAACAATTGTAAAGTGTGTTGGCGCTAACTCTTAAGATGGAAAAATGCATGCACAAAACCAACAATGGTCATAATGTTCAATTTACAAAATTCTCATTTCTTGACTTTGTCCTTACTGACATAAGAAGTCTTTCAGGTAAACAGTCAGCCAAAATCAGCCAGTGACAATCTTCTAGTTGTCAATTTTTATTCTTGGCCGAGAGAAATGCTAACACCAAAACCACTGAATATGTAACTTTAAGTTTTTCTTTAAGTATATTGGTTTTCTTCCCCTTATAAGAAAGTTTCAACCTCACTGTCCGTCAGCAATACATATTTTTTAGTGTTTTAGCCGCCATAATTGGAGGATTCTCAAGACAAATAACTTGTATTGAGAATTGTGAAGGTTTTACTGTTCATTTATCAACCTGACTGAGTGGTGCCAAAGGCGAGTGACACGTCAGTAGCTGATTGGCTAGTTCAACACATGTAAAAAAAAATACGATATTTTTTGCACGTGTGTTGTTACAGCTTTTCTCAGGGCTAGAAATCCCTGTATAACACCACAGTTTATGTGATAAAATTAATTCTTTAAAATCAAAGAGTGCCTGGATTCTGATTTTTCCTTACAGTATCACCAAGGTCATGAGAATAAAGTTAACGATCAACACCTGAAGAATCTCCTGATTGTCAAAAAATTATCCTTCTCAAAAACACAAAGAACATAGCGAGGGTTGTGTCCTAAAGTACAGGCCTTACCTGGTACATGGCTTCATCACATTCTCCTTGAATTCCTAGATTGATCATAGTGTTTGTGAGCGCGCGGCCCATGTAATACTCCAGTGAAAGATAATATACACGCTGCCAATGTAAAAAAGTGAAAAATACTGAGTTTGCCAGAGCCTGATCATTACTGAAAGTTCCATGGTAATAAAAGAAGCCAGTTAGTGCTCAACAAAGTTATATTATGTTATGTGATGTTAACCCAGTAACTCTATAAGTGATTAAGACAGAATTTCCATACAATATCAAGCACACAAGTGATGAGAATATGCAAAAATATCAAGAAGATTATTAGTTGATTTAATACAAAATTCTCCACACCAGGTCAACCCAATAATGGTAACAGTATAAATAACAAAAATAATATTACAACTGTGCTTTTAGAGACCTTTAGAAAAGATGTAATTTTTTTTGTTAGGGGTACATGTAATCACCAAGCAAGTTTTAGATCTCACTCTGAAATAAGATTTTTTTCACTGGAAATGAAACAGCATTGCCTTGGATTTGGTTTTATGCCACTAAATCAAAGAGCATTTTAATTTTGTAACATTAACTTGCTGCTAATCACTGCACAATTATATGTACCCATAATATAAATATTCAACAAAGAGCTATCTACATCATTAGACACTGTATACTAGAAAATCACTCTTTGATTTTTTAGTTCTTTTCCTCTAAAATCATTAATACAAACTGCTGTCTTTTAAAATATGGCTCATGAGGGTTTTCTGGGTACAAAATGAGGAAAATCACCAAAGAAAATCAAATCCAGCTGATTGACATTTTTTCCTTGTTTAGTTATGATCTTCACATGAAATTAACCCACAAACCCTAAAATTCATTCAAAAAAAGGGGTGGACATCTACAAGTCATTGTTATTACTTATTTAAACCTTTGGTAAATGACTGGATATTAAAACATCTAACAGATGTCCTGGAATGTCATCAAACATAAACACTATTTGCTCTGCCTTGATCCTAATCAAACAGAATTTTTCATTATTTTGGAAACCTATACTTCGTAAACTGAGGTTTCCTACATAATATTGACAGCCTAATTATTGAGTGAAACTGTTGGAACGGATCAGTTCAAAACAAAGTAATGCAAAAAAATAAGTTCAATTACCACAAAAAAAAAACACAAAACAGAACAAAGTGTTTAAAAAAAAATGTTAATTCCTACAATGTCGCGCATAAGTGGGTCAACTGAACTTGACCAGTTGATAACAATTTGATGCCTGCCAATAATTTATGCAAAATAAGAACGTGTTTTCTGTCACGGTTGTGCTCTTGCAACCGCAAATGCCTGCACAATTTTTGATGACTTACATATTCTTTACAAAACCTTCCAAGCACAAAAGCAATCAATATAGAACAAAAATGCCGTTCAGACGTAAGCTTTAAAATTGTGGCCTGGCTCCAATTCAACATACACAGGGGTTGGAAAAACAAGTTCACGATTTCTGTGGTAGAGGGAAATAATTGCTGTTAAAAAGCCGGTAGGTTGAACTTTCGCCAAATGAAAGCAGAAAACAATCATGGTTAAAAGAAATGAAAAATTCCTTCACCATGAACATCTCTAAACCAAACACACTTCTAAAAAGATGAATTGTGTTTTTTAAATATGGATGTTGGTAAATTTACTACGGGTCAAAATGAAAAGACCACTACAAAATACATTAATACCTTGGGATCTTTCTCGTAATAAGCTTGCTGTGTTCGAATCCACTTTCCAACCAATTTGTCCTTCACTGTGTGCGCCAAAGAAGCGAAGTAGTCGCGTTTCGTTGCTACGTTTCTGTCCTTGACGAGCGAGTAGTGCAAATGGCGATTAAAAGCTTCTTTTAGACTGTTCACACCTTCTACGATCGGGAGCCGTCGAAGAGAGATTTGCCTCTTCCGTTCAGCATCCGTCAACGGTTTCTCACCCATAGTGCAAGAAACAGTGAGTTTTCACCGATAATTAAACAGATCCCACAGTCTTCTTACGACCTTTCAAAGCAGCTCTCGAGCACTGCCTACGATTCTGCTCTGCAAACAAGGAACATCACGTAGGTTCCAGTCCCTGCACTTCACACTCCACGGAGTGAGCCACGCAATCGACACGTAGATTCACGCAGTTGCCACGCTGAGGACAGCTATCACGCGTCAAGGGGTTAAGTTCCGTAAATTTTAGCAACCAGGTCGTACTTAGAAATTGTGTGAAAAAGAATTGCTTAAACA